GCTTGTTTGTATTCGACGGTTTGTCAGCTGACGACCTTCAACGTAGGGGGCTTAAATTAAGCTCTGATAAAACGAAAGGTTAACTTTGCCGCAACATTTAGCTGTTTGACGTGTGATTTGCTGATTCTTAGACGATGGGGCTTGTGGAATCGCAACCACAGCGATCGAATCGGCAGTTAACCACAGTCAAACTTTGGACGACGCTGAAACCGAAAGCGAAACGGAAGCGGAAGCAGGAGACCCTGAAAAAATCAAAAAGCTGAAGGATGACATTATGCAAACCCAGGTTATTACACTGTTTATTGATAAGGAACTATGGTTCTTTTGTAACCACTTTATAAACTGTTGTGGTACCTAATAGCTTGTTCTGAATGATATGGATAATGGATTTGTAATCAAGGTTTGACAGTACAAACTTGTGACGAATTAATAGACAAGGAGACAGATAGATCAATGGATAGATAGTACATGGATATACTGGTACACAGTTGTTTGGATCAGTGTATAGATAGGATATAGATTGCTGAACGGCTAGGTACAGTATTATCCGGACAAATTGGCAGGGTAACAGATGCAACGGCATATTAATGAATGCATCGAAAGTTTGAGTCATGTTAAAATCGATCAGCGGACATAAATGGCTGTCTATGCAAGCCGGTAGATACATCTAGAATTATCGATCTGATCTGTTATTAAGCAAATACGGATGAGTGGATGGGCTGATGGGTGTATTTGTCTTTGCCTACTGTTTATCCAAATTCAATTATTGCAGCTAGATAATTATATATTTTCTGTCTAACTGCAACGATTGAGTGATGGATAGGCGTAAAGACGGAATTGGATATGTATATATCTGTAGATAGATAAATAAATGTATCTTTGTCTATGTACCTATCTGTTAGCCTCTCTGGCCATAATGATTGAGTAATAAATGGACAAACAGAACGATAGTTGTGAATGTATATTTTCGTATCTCTCAGTCCATCTCCCTATTTGTGCCTCTGACTATGTGTCTATCTGTTTGTTCGTTCATATATGTTGATCT